TTTTTACATGATTTGAACCTTGCATGCTACTTTCTATGATTATCAAAAAATAAAATTGGGGAGTTCAGCATGATACATTCACAAATTATAACTTAGCAACTGTTTTGGCTATATTGATGAGGAAGCCCCCACTGAAGAGTCCTTATGTTTGCAACTACTTAGGTATATGAAGATCTTGTAATGTGTTTGTTCTGATATTATGAAATATTGTACTTGTATTTTAGTCTTCTATAAATTTGTATCGACCCAAGTGACATTTAATTAGTGGTTCTTTTGTTTGCCAGAAATCTATATTACTTGGGTGGTATCTGTGGAGTTGAAGATTATGGGTAGGATTAAAGCAAAGGGAAAGAAGTTGGCTGTCACAAACCAAGATGATCCAGGAAGTGCTGAGGAAGAAAAAACCCATGTACAGAAGAGAAGGGGCAGGCCTCAGAATTACTTAATGATGACAGAGAGTGAGGACACGACAAATGATGTCCATTACATTGAGTTTGTCTTCGGACTTGCTGGAGTATGTCATTGGTGATGAAAAGCGGCTAATGCAAGTTCTTTTAAAGGTAGTGGGAATGCCCTAAAGTTCTTAGGGTAGCATTTTCATAGTTGCTTTTGTTGTCCAAAATTTTATTTCATTTCGAAACTCATTTTTATTTAGGTGGTGATGTATTACATTTTAATGTTTAAGTGTATGGGTTCAAAAAATTTGTAATGAAATAATCAATTTTTATGCAATTTTAAAATTTCTTGAAAATGAGTATTTTTAGTTTTGCCGGTCAATTTTCAAAACAAAAAAAAACTGTAATATGACCTATGGCAACGTTTTTTAAACGTTGCCAAAGACCTACGTAAAAGGTTTTTAAAAAATGTTGCGAAAAGATTTTTAAAAAACGTTGCGAAAAAACAATGCCGTAGGTCTTTTTGGCAACGTTTTTTAGTCTTTGGCAACATTTAAAAAACGTTGTCGTATCTTTCTACTCTATGGCAATACCTCGATTTGCAACACACGTCCAAACGCTGCAAAAGGTCTACGGCAACATTTTTGAACGTTATCGTAGGCTATTTTTGTTGTATGACACTGTTACTTGATGTGATTCTTGGTTCCAGATATAAAACTACATGAATGTGATAAGGATTTCCCTTTTTTTTAGTGCACAAATGTCATTCGTATATTTAAATGGGTTAGGACCAATAAAAAAAACTTTAAACTCTATCTAAAGGTACAAAGTTTTATCTTTAAATCATAAAGCTGTCTATTTTTCAGTAACTCTACCCTCTATTATTTTAATAGAAATGGGACTTCGGAGGTGTGTAAGCTTTGAAATGTTTCACTTTCCTACTTCCAAACAAATTTCAATTTGGACCCGCAATCCCACTTCGTTAGGATATTTCATTCCAAAAATCAAGAATATGCTTTTAGGGTTTAATACATGAGGCATATGTCTATTCATAAATAATGGCAAGAATATATACCGACTACTTATTCGACCATGTCTGATCTAAGAATAATGAATTCTTTCATAAAAAAAATTATTAAGAATTGGAATTCCATATTAAACTATCAATGCCGTTAATTAATATAAATAACTTAAGTCATTATGTAATGATTATTGATTTAAAAATAATCATTGCTGGATATTATTCTTAATAATATTAACATTCTTGGATTCTTTAACAAGGGAAAAATCAAAGAATAAAAGCTCGAATTACAAGAAGATTAATCGTTCGTTCCTCACAAAAATGGGCTGTAAATGAAAGGAGTCTTATCTAATAATAGATTTCACCTCGTCTATCTTTACTTTCTATTTCCCATTCTCTCCACGCCCACCCAATCTAATCCCAGAGGAAGCTTCATGGCAGGGTGGGTTTTCTATGTTTGAAAATAACATAGCTTTTGAAATTTCCTAGTAGTTAGTGGCTGTTGCGATTCGCAGAGCTCGTATCGTGACACGCACAAGAAATTTTAATTTTGACCGCGTAAACACCATTGACTTTTATTTTCCTCAAATTATTTTTCAATTTGGAACAGGAAAAAGTGACCATATAGAAATGAAATTAATAATTTGATCGAGTTGTCAATGCACTGAATTTAATTTAGTGGAATGCTCATTTTCAAATACCATTTTGGATGTGAGAAATTTGAATAGAAATTAGCATATTAGAATTGAGAACTGCCATTAAACAAATCAGAAAATCTAGTGGTCTTGTTTGACATACTCAACTTTGTAGAAGAGATAAACACAAAATTATTAGTCTTTACTTATTTTATCTGAAAAATTGTATTCCACTTTTAAGACTTCTTTTGTTTGTTTCATAGTGGCGTGCTAAAAGACATGTAAAGATTTCAACGATTTTTTGAGTATGTAATATTATTTTTTAATTTATAATTATTTGTAATCTTATAATTAAATTCATTCCCTTTTAATTTTTGACATCATCCTCAAATAAATTTTTACAACATTTTATAGTTGACTAGTGTCAACGACGATAATCATGTAGATTAATTGAATACGCAGCTGGTGCCTTGTTATCCATGTGTGCAAGCAAATTTAGGCTAGTGGTACACCTCATTCTACCACCACCACAATTTTACTCCAACCAAAAACTTGACCTATAAAGTTATAAATATCACGTGACACTATTGATATTTTGCATCAGTTAAGACTTCATATTCAATAAATGCTTGACCTATCTCATTGTGTAAAGTTGTATAGGGTTAAGAGATGACATATTTGTGTTCTAATTCTGACACCAAATCATAGTTCAGTTTATGTGATAGCATCGCCATTGTCACATCATCAAATGAAGTTATAATACGTTTGTACTCATTGAGTATTATAACGACTAGTGTGTATGATAGTTACCAACTGACTTTTCTATTATGCCCGCCAGATGTTAGTATGTTTAATGTGTTATACCAACTAGTTGTTAGTTGTAACAATTGGCATTTTTCAGTTCTTATTTATACCGTAATTGTATATACATTGGTGGTGACACTTTTTGGATGATGAATGAAATCTGCATTTCTTCATTTCAATTCAGCTCCAATATGGTATCAGAGCAATACTGAGCTGCACTCTTCTTCTTCATCTCATTTCTCTCCTTTTAATTCAATAGATCCTTCTTGCTATTTGTGATTCCAATCGATTATGGAGTCAGCAATTTCAGAGAATTATTCAGGATCAAGGTCGTTCATGAGCAGGTTTATCATTGAAGAACCTTTCAATCCGTATTTCCTCCACCATTCCAACAATCCTGGATTGGTGCTTGTGTTTCAGCAGCTCATAGGAGAAAACCACACCTCTTGGAGCCGTGAAATGACTATTGCTTTATGAGTTAAGAATAAACTCGTCTTCATTAATGGATCTATAGAGAAACCAAAAGCTATAGATCCGGATTTGGTAAATTCATGGATTCGGAATAATAACATGGTGATTTCTTGGATTCTAAATTCTTTTTTGAAAGATATTTCAGCTAGTGTAATCTATGTTTCTACATCATATGAGATTGGGAATGATCTCAAAGAGAGATTTCAACAAAGTAATGGACCTCAAATTTTGCAATTAAGGAGGGCACTAATGAATGTAGTTCAAGGCCAAAACAGTGTAAGTGTCTACTTCACTAAACTCAAATCTGTATGGGAAGAATTGTATAATTTTTGACCCAATTGTAACTGTGGAAAGTGTACATGCGGTGTTGTTAAGGAACTGAACAAACATTACCAGATGGAGTATATTATGTCATTTCTCATGGGATTGAATGAATCATTTTCCCAAGCTCGAGGTCAAATATTTCTTATGGATCCTCTACCACCTATAAATAAAATGTTTGCACTAATTTCGCAAGAGGAGAATCAAAGAAAGCTCAATACACTATCAATTGGTGCTGATTTAAATGGAGGAGCTGCCTTTGCGTTCAAATATGATAATGGCAAAGGAGCAATTAATTCTGGTCATCTTGTTGACAATTCTAGGATTGGTACCAAGAAGAAAGAAAGACCATATTTTACACATTGCAAATACCATGGACATTCTGTAGATAAACGTTATAAAGTTAATGGATGTCCACCGGGTTATAAGTCGAGGCTAAGAGACAATTTTCAAAGTTTTTCTAAGTCCTATCCTGTTAATCGAATTTCTGCTTCTTTCAATCCACAGATTGAGGACAAACCAATGGATCAACAACCTAGCCTTGGAAAATTTATGTAGAATTTGAACTCCAGCCAATATCAACAATTGATGACAATGTTGTCAACTCATCTATCTTCCAGTTCAAACTCCAATTTTGCTGAACACGACGAAAATATATATTCGTATGCTGCATGTATATGCCATTTTCAATCAATTAGTCCAACATTTACATTCAAAGACATTATGATTGTGGATTCAGGAGCCTCTAAACACATGTGCTCCATCGCTGATGCATTTGTAAATTTGAGAATTATTGATAATTCAAGTATTACTTTGCCTGATCACTCGCAAATACCTGTCAGTCTGTGTGGTGATACTAGATTAGGCCCAAAACTGATGCTACATGATGTCCTCTTTGTGCCGCATTTCAAGTTTAATTTACTATTAGTCAGTGCCTTAACTGTTGGGTCACAACTCACGATGAGTTTCTTTCATAATCAGTTCACCATCCAGGAGACTTCAACCAAGAGGATGATTGACAGGGGTTATAAGGTCCAAGATTTATATGTACTGGATACCAAAGACCTCAATTTCATTTCTAATATTTTTATTAGTAATGTTTCTGCTCATGTTAGCATAATAGGCTTGGACATCTATCGTTTAAAAAACTAGATGCATTAAAGGAACATTTGCTATGTGATGCTTCCAAATTAAATAAAACTCTTGCCTTTTTATATATGTCCTCTTGCTAAGCAAAGACGACTGACTATCTTTCGAATCAAACAATCATCTCTCTAGCAAGCCATTTGATCTAGTGCATTGTGGCATATGGGGTCCTTATTACATTACATCACATTTCGGATATACACTAGTTGATAATTGCTCTAGATTCACTTGGCTATACATGTTTAAGCATAAATCTGATGCTGTGGGAGTTATACATCGATTTTTTAACCTGGTTGCCACACAATATAATACTATCATTAAGATTTTTCGATCAGACAATGCTCATGAGTTATCTTTCAAAGATTACTTTGCTGAAAAATGAGTGATACATCAGTTTACTGTGTTTAAAGACCACAACAGAATTCAATGGTTGAACGCAAACACCAATACCTTTTAAATGTAGCATATGCTCTATTTTTTCAATCAAGAGTCCCTATCAAGTTTTGGTCAGAATGTGTGTTAACAGCAGCCTACTTAATTAATCGGACTCCATCTTATCTTTTACAACTTAAAACACCGTATGAGGTGTTACATGGTCCTTCGGCTGATTATTCAATTCTTAGTTTTTGGGTGTTTGGTGTTTGCATCCACACTTACTGTTCATAGAAACAANTGTTCATAGAAACAAATTCTAACCAAGAGCTAGATTGTGTCTTTTTAGGTTAACTATCTGGAC